GTTGGTTCCAGTTTTTAGCTTGTTGCAGCCCTCTGAAATCCATCCTCTCAGAGACAACAGCACAGGTCAGAGCCATCTGCTCTCCGTCTCCCTGCCCCTCTCCCCTGCTCCCCTGCCTCTTCCCTTCCCTCCCTCCTTTCCTCTCTCCCCCAACTTCCTTCCTCTCTCTCTCTCTGTCTCCCTCTCTCTTTCCCTCAGAGTGTTTTCTTCATGTCCCTTCAATACTTCAGTATGCATTTAACCAATTCCCTATATCAAATTATCTGTTAAAATGACTAGTATGCTTTCTGTTTTCCAGACTCTACTATTAAGTAAAGTACCACAGTGGTTAGTTCTTATCAATATAATATTAGTGGAAGCGTGTGCCTCTTCTGAAGTGAGATAGTTAAGATCAGGTGTACCTCCTACCCCTTTCTTTCCCATCTGCCAGCTAAATTGAACAAGGGTGATATTGAAGCCACATGTTGAATATAAGGTAACTATAGCATGGAAAGAGCCTGGCCTTGAGAATTTCTCTATAGAGTAGTATCTTATACCTTCCTCTACTGCCCAATGTTGATTTCTGGTATGTGCAATGGCCTGTGCAGGCCCCTGCACACACACACATTGACATACACAAAATAACCTTAATTGTTTAAAGCCATTGAGATTCTGCATTGTTTATTTCAGCAGTCAGCATGACTTGTCTTTATTAACGCAGAAATTAATACCAGAACTGGAATGCCATTGTAAAAACATTTTTCATTATGCAGCATTGGCCCGATGATTGAATGGAGGATGATAAGACAACACATAAAATAAGCTGAATAGCTCTTTATCCATGTCATTCAAATGGAAAATATTTGATGAATCTCTTGCCTGCAATAACTTAGAAGACAGATCAAATGATTTCTAACCTGGGGAAAAGAGGTTGAAAAAGATCAGTTTAGTACGTGTTGGTCATCACTGGATCTGTTTAGCAACACATGTGGAAGTGAACCAACCAGTTTAGAAGCAGACGCAAGGATAAAGAGAGACTACATATTTACTGCTTGCAAATTGGAAAAATTGACAGATTCTAGATCTTAAATAGCAGGAGACGGAATTAAAAATTTTTTCTTTTACAAAGACATGATGAGAATTCTTAGTTTTAACAAAGTGATCAGATTTAGGATGTATCTACTCAAGCCTCGTCTCCTCAAGGTAACTGTTTTTAAGTTGAGGTATAGAAGGGAACTAGGAAGCAAGAAAGTAAAGACCACTGGAGAACTGTTTCAAAAAGAACTTTTTGTGTGGTTACTCATACATGAAACTGACTAGAAGTAAATAAACAAGAAAGCTAACAAGGTTTTGAAGTTGCCAAAGAACACTAGTCTCATCTAGTGTTAAGACTTTTGGCAAGGCTTAAAATGCCCATCAGTAGGAAGTGGGCTACACGAGGTGGCTTACCCCAAAGAGGACATGTATCCCAACAGCTATTTCTGATATGCCTGGGAAAATAATAAGTGTGGAACAACCTCTTGCAGGTTTGCTGCCTTTTCCCCAAAAGCTTGTGGATTTTTCTCCTTAAGGAGGAGTTCTTTAAATGTCAATTTGTTCAACATGATTGTGGTGTTAAAGTGTGCTAAATACTTACTGAATTTTATTGTTGCTCTACTAATGACTGAAAGAGAGAAATGAAAATGAATGAATTTTAGATTTTTCTATTTCTTTCTTTGATTCTGATACTTTTTGCTGTATGTATATTGAGGCTCTCTTATTAGGTATGTTCATGTTTAATATTAGTATAGCCTCCTGGTTATCTGATTATTTTTGTCACTATAAAATGTTCCACTTTATTTTGGATAACAACTATTTTCCTAAAGTCTACTTTGGCTGATATATTCTTTTATTGTTACAGTGTGAGTTCTATATCTTTTACTAGTCTTTTGTTTTCAACTTCTTATGTAGACAGCATAGAGCTCAGTCTTAACTTTTTTTAAAGCCAGTCTGAAGTTCTCTGCCTTTTAATTAGATAGTTTGGTCCATTTATGCTTAATGAGATTGCATAAACATTTGAATTTATGTCTCCCATCTTAGTATTGATATCTCTTGGCTCCATCTGTTCTTTGTTTCTCTCTTCTTTCTGTTTTAAATCATTTTTTAGGTGAAGAGCTAGATTTATTTGTTTTTAAAAAAATGTTTCAAGATGAGAATTAACTTTTCACTCCATCTTATCATGAATATTCTCTCATTCCACACATTCCCTCCAGTTTTATATCAAAAACATAAATTTATCCTTCCTGGCATATCCATCAATGTGATGCAACTGAAGGAAAAGACTGACATCACTAGTCATCCTCCTTCACATTGTTCTGCTCTTGTGTCAACATCCTTTATCTACATTCCTAAAATCAGGTATTAATCTGTATATTGTCAAAGCGAGTGGCTCATTTTATCCAATATAATATCATGAAATATATTGTCAAATGCTATGCAAATCATGTTCAGCTATTTAACTACCAGTTTATTACTTCTGTTAAAGAAGAAAATACAGTTAGCCTGGCATAGATTAGAATTTCTGAGGCTTTCTTTTCTTCTTGTTTTATGCATCCCTCAAGGGCTATTTCATCTTTTTCCATGAATTCGATGATCACTCATTTGCTGATTGCTATCAAAAGTATGTGCCTTGGTCCCAGACTGTGCTCTTGAGCTTCACCCATGTTTCCGAAGGCCTCCTAGACAATCCCTCTTGGATGGATGTGGGCAACAGAAATACAGCACATTCAAATAAGAACTTATGATCTTTCCTTCAAATCCATTCCTCAGATCCCTCATTTCAATTAACGGATTGATCATTCACCCAGTTTCCCCAGACAACAATGTTATAGTCATATGGTTCCTATTTTTCCCTATCTGTACACTCAATTGATCTTTAATTCCTATTCATGCTACTCTTCTAGATAATTCCCTCTCATTTGTGTCCTACTTAGCATTTCCACAGATCCTACCATCATGCAGGTCATTTTTCACTTATATCTCATCAATGACATCTTAACATGCATCTCCTCTCCACTTTCCAGTCTCTACCCCACCTACATCAGCACCAGCTGGAACTAGATAGAAACACAAATTCTCAGTCACCCCTCAGATTTACTAGATGAGGAACTCTGTGGTTGCTGTCCAGCAGTCACTGGTGATCCAGATGCACATTCAAGTGTGAGAACCACCGTGGTACACTAAAGCTGGTTTAAAACGTTTCCTCCCACCAACACCTTATCTTTAATGCCAATATTCCTCTTCCCACTGAAGCTTCTAAGTGAACAAAGCCACAATACTATATAGAAAATCTAGAATATTCTCCTAATTTTTATCTTAATTATTGTCTCTATTTTTGAAGTAAATCCAATTTTATCCTCGGCTCTTTATCATTACTAACAAATTTTTGGGGGCAAACGCTAGCATCTCAATCAACATCCAAGTGTGCCCCGATACCAAAGTTGACACATGATCTACTCCAGCAATCAGCACAGTATGGCCCATAGGTCAAACCTAGCCCATCCCTTGTTTCTGTAAATAAAATGTTATTGCCATGCAGTTGAGTTTATTAGTCTTCTTTTTTTTTAAATATTGTCTATGGTTGCTTTTGCATCACAGCAGCAGAGTTTAGCAGCCACAACAGAGACCATATGGCCTGAAAAGCCTAAAATATTTACTCTATAGCCTTTTACAGAAAAAGATTTTTGACCTCTAATTAACATTGTCACCATGTATTCATCCAACATATATTTACTGAACATATGTTATTAACTAGGTTTGTTTCAGGCACTGAGGATATAGAGGTGAACCAAAGAGACAGGCCTCTGCAATCATGGGACATATATTTGAAGGGAAATGGCTAACAATAAGCAAGCATACAAGTAAATAATTAATAAAATAATTTCAGAAAGTCACCTATGCTGTGAAGAAAATAAAGTGGATGCAATGATAGAAAACGACAGTCAGGAGGCACCACCAATGGATTAGGTGTCAGGAAGGGCTCTCTGAGGAGATGACATTCAGCTGAGACCTCAATGAAAATAATGAAATGATGAAAGGAACCAGATGTGCAAAGGTCATGGGAAGGAAAGGACCTTGATTTTTCCTAAAAACGTAAACAGGGCGAGTGTGGCTGGAGCAAAGTAAGGACTGGGAAGATATGAAGCCCTAGCTAAACGTTTGTGAGACTCCTGATCGATGACAAATAGTATTCTTTCATTTCCACTGTGTCTCACAGAAGGAAATGATATTGATTAAAGGTTGCTTAGTATTCTTTTGTGTAGTAATGATTTATGTTGGTTGTAGTGCAAGCATAAATGATTTTTACATCAAGGGTGAGAAAATTAAGAATTTCTGATTAAAATGAAAAAAAGAGCAAGATTTATGTCCCGTTTAGATGCAAGGTTGAAATATTGCTCCTTACTCACCACCTTGATCAGGCTGTTTAAGGTGGCAGAGTTAAGCTAGACCTTAAAATTTTCCTCTCCCCTAAACCTAGCGACATGAACAAGTACAAAATAAAATAGAAAACAACTCAAAGACTATTATAATTAAGCAATGGAAAGAGCTGATGACTTGAACATGAGCGAAAAATGAGTTGTAAGAATATGTACAATTTTCCTTCTATATTTTTTATGTAGAAAAGTGTTTGGTGTAGGTGAATAGTGGAGGGTTTGATGGTTTGTTGAGAAGAGGAAAATGTATTAATAAAACTGAAAATTCTCATTAAGAATCAGCAACTTAGGGGGCTGGTCCAGTGGCACAGCAATTAATTTCATGTTCCACTTCAGTGGCCTGGGGTTCACAGGTTCAAATCCTGGGTGTGGACATATGCACCACTTGTCAAGCTATGCTGTGGCAGGCATCCCACATAAAATAGAGGAAGATGGGCATGGATGTTAGCTCAGGGCCAGTCTTCCTCAGCAAAAAGAGGAGGATTGGCGGGAGATGTTAGCTCAGGGCTAATTTTCCTCAAAAAAAACAAAAAAGAATCAGCAACTCAGGTGCTCGCTTTGGCAGTACATATACTAAAATTGGAAGGATGCAGAGAAGATTAACATGGCTCCAGTGCAAAGATCACATGCAAATTCAAGAAGCATTCCATGCTTTTAAAAAGGGATAAAGGAATTAAATAGACATTTCTCTAAAGATGATATACAAGTGTCCAAAAAGTATATAACAAAATGCCCAACATTACTAATCATTAGGGAAATGTAAGTCAAAACTACAATGAGATATCACCTCACACCTATCGGTATACCTACTACAAAAAAAATCAGCACATAACAAATGTTAGTAAGGATGTGTAGAAATTGGAACTCTTGTGTACTGTTGGTGGGAATAAAAAATGGTGCGACTGCTATGGAAAACAGCATGGAGTTTCCTCAAAAAATTAAAAATAAAACTACTACATGATCTAGCAGTTCCACTTCTGTATCCAAAAGAATTGAAAGCAGGATTTTGAAGAGACATTTGTATACCGATATTCAGAGCACTATTCACGACAGCCAAGAGGTTGAAGCAACCCAATTGACATCAATGGAAGACTGAATAAACAAATGTGGTATGTACATACAACAGAATACTATTCAACCTGAAAAAAGGAAGGAAATTCTGGTACATGCTACAATATGGATGTATCTTGAAGACATTATGCTTAGTGAAATAAGCCAATCAAAAAGACAAATGGTGTATGATTCCACCTATATGAGGTGTTTAGAGCAGTCAGATTCATAGAGAGAGAACATAGAATGGTGGTTGCCAGGGGCTGATGAGAGGGGAGAATGGGGAGTCACTGTTTAATAGGTATGAAGTGTGGGTTTTACAGAATGAAAAGAGTTAGGCGGATGGGTGGTGGTGATGGTTGCATAACAGTGTGAATATTCTTGATACTTGTTAAGTAAATGTTATATCATGCATTTTTTTACCACAATAAAAAAAAATACAGAAGTATCAACAACTTGTAGAGAAGAAGAAGACAAGGTGTCAACAGATTTAGAACAGAGCTTGGGCGATTGCAGATCAGGCAGCAGAGCTAAGTACAGTTTACTTGTTAAGACCACATGGAAATGTCATGTAGATTTAAAGAATCTATCACTCCTCAGGTGGGGTAAAGTGATGAAGAATATAGAAAATTTTGCCCTCTGCAACTACTCAAATTGAAAAGACTAAAAACTGTTTTTCTTGACTTTTAAGAAAGGGCAGATACTAAACACCTGTACACAGATTCTTGTCTTCCCCTTTTCAAGTGTGTTGAGATCCAGCAGGTTGAAATTAACAAAAGGTGACAACACAGTAATTTATGATTCGACTTTCTTTTATGCTTTAAAAATAAGTTCATTTATATTCTTATCTGATACAGCATTATCTGTACCACTTTAAAGATAAACAAACTGAGGGTCAAGACACTAAAGAAATATAAGTGATAGGACTTACCAGTGGAGGACCTGACTGAGTACTCGGTACTACCACACTACGTTTCTTTTCTGTAACTCCTTTCAGAACTAATGTTCTCCATGCATCTACATGTGCTTTGGAAATGCAGAGGAAAAAAGGTGCCTAATCATGGAAGCAGTTACTTACAAACTCACTTAAACCACCTCTTTTCCACATGGCCCTCCCAGAGAGTTCACTCATTACTGTTTTTCTCAGCATTGGCTGTAGCCAAATGGCTGTGCTGCAGTAGACAAAGCCCCGCCTTGGAAAGCAAGAAGATGGGGATTCATTACCTGGTTCTGCCAAATGCCAAGTACATTGCCATAGGCAAGATGCAATCACTGCAATTAAGTTTTCTCATCTGTAAAATGATTCCGTGTACCTCATAAGCTTGTTGCAACAGTTAAATGGAGTAACAACGTGCAAGAACTCTAAACAATAAAATGCTATACAAACATAGGCTATAATTGTCACCTAAGTCCCCATAAATCTGAGAAGAAGACCATTAACCAAGAGTCAGAGAACACAAAGAACACTTTCTAAAAATCCTAAAAATAGGGTCTTTCAAAGCATTACTATTGAAATACAGTAAACATTCTTAGATTAAAATATTAACATTTTCATTTATTAATTTATTTTGAAAATAGTAGGGGAATAAGAGAGATCTTCTGCCCCAGAATACTCAGTGTTCTAGGTCTGAAATTCTCATCAGGGAAATATTTCTTTCCTTCTTCTATGCATAAGAAATTATAATTTATAATCATGAAATTTCATAGTTGACTCAATATTTTATTTATAGATAACAATTAAATAATGAAAACCTTGATTCCAAGAGATTGTGTTTTGCTTAATGCTGGAAGATCAGGGGCCAGTTTGGATTCTAATCACTTCTGTAGATGATTTTGATCAAGTTTTTCAAGGTTTATAACTTTATTTTTAAATTTTTTTGCATAAGACAACTTGTTCCTGCCTTAGTTTGGGTTCTTCACAAACAGTGCTTGAGACGTGGATTTGGGTGCAGTGCGTTTGTTTGGGAGGTAATTGCAGACCGCAGAGTGAGAAGATAGGATAATGAAACAGGAAGGGAAGAAGGCAGTGAAAGATGCATCCCTGAGCGAGATTCTATGGTAGATAACTAAAGCTCAGTCATCCTGGGGCTTATCCAAGGAACCACGCAGGATGCATCTCAAAATGATCCCTCCAAAGGGAGGAAAGTTTAGGTATTAATTCACTTACTCCTGTCTCCTGAGGGTTGAGGATTGCTCCCAAGCCACATCTGCATGCAGTCTGAATGGCTTTGTAAGGCTTTAGGGACAATCTTAAAGGTAAGAAAGCAGAGCCACCATAGCATGCACTTGTGGGGAGGAAATGGCACAGTGCACTGAAACAAGGGGGTTGACTGAATGTGGTGTAGACATAAAAATATCTCCTATGTTATTGGTTTCTATGAGGACCTAGTAAATTGATATGAACATACTTAGAACAGTGTTTGGCAAAGTGTGAACACCACAGCAACTGGGGCTTTTACTAGACTAAGAGATTTGTTTATAGACACTAATTGGCAATGCTTTTACTCTGGCCCCCTGATGCTTATTCTTTTCTTTTCTATACCTTCTCTCCTGTATTCTAGTGGTAAGTATATCTTTCCATGCCTTGCATATAAATATCTCTGTGTGAACATGATCACTCTTCCCATGCCATTAGCATTTTATAAAATTTATTATCTCATCTATGTTGTCTCATTTAAATGGCAACCCATTTGAAAAACTAGATCAAGTGCTTCATTCAATTTTGCATAATTGTGAGGACATAGAATAATTTTATGTATAGGAAGATGTTTAATAAATATTACGTATTTCAACATGGTTATAAAGTGAGTGTCTTTTACTTGCCCTCACCGTTGAGTTTTACCAGTGTTAAAAACACATGGCCTTATTACTTCAATGAAAATTCAAATTCATAGCTCCCATTAGCATTGCAGACAACTTCTGGCTGAGTTTCCCTGGATATTATTGGAAGTTCAGATCTTTTAATGAGCTTAATACGGGAAGAATTTTGGCATTCACATAAACTACTGCCCCTTTCCTGGCCTAGGGCTAGAGAGAAAATAGTCACCATTACAAACTGGTGAGATAACTTCAAAGATACTTAACTGTCAGAAAAGCCATTATCTAATACGTAATCAACAAATGCACAGTCACTTTCAGTATATTTCAATGCTAATTTTAACTTGCTGGACACAACTTTCTCTCGGTCTCCTACCACATGAAAAGATCCATCTAATTCACTTTTCTCCTTAGCTCATTGGCTTTTGAATTTTTGGATCACATCTGAGCCCATTCTTTGGAGAGATTCTCTACTTCATCAATCTACATTCACTCTGCAGCCCAGTCTTCTCTCTTGAACTTCAGACGCATGTAACTGAATATATTCTTAATATCTCCACATTTAATGCTGTGGTAGGTTATTTTAAAAAAAACAACAACTGTTAGTACTTCCCCGGCTTTGCATACTTCTTTGCAATGCAGCATTGATGGTCCCATCAAGAGGCTGAATCTTCCTCTTTGTCCCATTGAATCTGAGTTGAACTTGTGACTTGATTTCACCAGTTGCATGTAGTGGAAGGGACATTGTGGAAGTTGAAAGCTGAGAACTCAAAAGACCTGCTTCTTGCTGCCCTGAAATCTCCACAGAATAAAAGCCTGTGCTAGTCTACTGAAGGACAAGACCACGTGGAGGAGAATGATCGATCCCATTTGACATACCATAGATCAATCAACCCTCAATTAATCCTCCAGCCTATTGCAGGCAGATGAGTGATACATGTGAGGCCAGCAGAACGACTCAGCTGAGCTCAGCCTGAATTGCTGACACAGAGATTCATAAGCAAATAAGACACTAAGTTGTTATTGTTTTTAATTTAATTATTTTATTGAGGTCATATTGGCTTATAACATTGAGTAATTTCAGGTGCACATTATTATATATCAGTTTCTGTATAGACTGTATCATGTTCACCATTAACAGTCTAGTTTTTATCTATCAATACATATGTGCCCCTTTAGTGTTTTGGCTCTGTCGCCCACCCTCTCCCCCTCTGGTAACCACTAATCTGTTCTCCTTATCTGTGTGTTTTTTTATCTTCCACATATGAGTGAAATCATACAGCATTTTTCTTTCTCTGTCTGGCTTATTTCTCTTAGCATAATACTCTCAGGGTCCATCCATATAGTTGCAAATAGCAACTTTTTTATGGCTGAGTAGTATTTCATTGTATCTATATACCACGTCTTCTTTACCTATTCATCTGTTGGTGGGCATTTGGGTTCCTTCCATGTGTTAGCTATTGTGAATAATGCTGCAATGAACATAGGCATGCATAAATGTCTTTGAATAGTTGATTTCACGTTCTTTGGATAAATATCCAGTAGTGAGGCAGCTGGAGCATATGGTATTTCTAGTTTTAACTTTTTGAGAAATCACCATACTGTTTTCCATAGTGGATGTTCCAGTTTGCATTCCCACCAGCAGTATATGAGGGTTCCCTTTTCTCCACATCCTCTCCAACATTTGCTATTTTTTGTTTTGTTAATTATAGCCATTCTGATGGGTGTGAGGTGCTATCTCATTGTAGTTTTGATTTGCATTTTCTGAATAATTAGCGATGTTGAACAT